CGGGCTGGGGATTCGAACCCGCCACCTTAGGTGTACGTGGCTGGCGCCTTAGCCGGTTGAGCTATAGGCACCGAGCCTCCCACAACTCTTTAAGTACAGTTCTATTACTGAGAATCACTGCTCTAATGAGTGTGCCCTTAACCCTTGATGGGCTCACTGGGGTCCCAATGAACCCAGCAATGTAATGTAATGATATACTACATCTGGGGCACATTGGGGGTCTGGGTGCAGCCTCTGCTTGGATCATAGCTGACTTCAAGTGAGATGGTTCAGCTGAGTATGTGCCCAGAGCCAACTTATAACTAAAGTGTCAGGTGCTATAGTGCTGGGGGTGGGGGCAGGGAGAAAGAGGCTCTGTGAAGAGGCTTCCTGGGGATTCTGGATCTTGTGATTGTTTGGGGGTGGTGGTGATAAGACTTAGCACAACCTAAAGAGGGCATGGGTATCTCAGGCTGGAGGGCTCTGAAGGGCTCAGGCCCAGGAGGGAAATAAAATGGCTAAGGAGAAGAATCTGGAGTAGATTCTAAAAGGCTCTGAGGACAGATCCTAGATGTGTACTTGGCTCTAGTTATGAATGTAGGACTCAAAAATCCACATTCTGGTCCAAGGCTTATTGCCATGAGCCCTGAGGTCACTCAGTGGACATCTGAAGTGTTCTTCCTGTTTTGCTGGAGTTCTAGAAACTTTCGTTTCTGCTGTTTTGGCCACAGTTTATTCTCCCTTGGAATGGAAGCTCCAGCAAGGCAGGGGCGGTGCCTGATTTGTTCCCTGATGTCTTCTGCGGTATCTGGAAGGATGTCTGGAATGTAGTCAGGGCTCAACCAATAGCTGCTGCCTTCTTACTTAGGCCTAGTGCTTAGGGCAATTCTATGGACAAGCTCTATGACACTTAGGTTCTTATATAGAGATAGACAATAAACAAGCCAACGAATCAGTGAATAAGATGATTTTAGAGCGTGGCCTGTGTACGGCTCGTTCCTCTGCACTGTAGAGTTTTGTTTGTGTCTCCTTCTAGCTAGCCTGTGACAGCTAAAGGCGTGGGTCATCCCGGTTTCTTGCTTCATTGATACCCTCCCCCATCCCAGGCTGGTACCTGACAACAGGGAGTGGTAAAAAAAGTGTTTTTGCTGTCCAAATTGACTGAACCAACATAGGCTCACAGTGATTTCAACCTGCATGCACCTGTGCCCTTCAGAGGCTACGGAACTTGTTATTATCAACCTAGGAGTAATTGCTGATAAGTCTGAGTGTGAATTTCCTTGCAAATAGAGAGGTAGCGGGGGAGTGTTTA